CTCATCCTGTGTGCATATCTCCCTCCTTAAATTCGCTGCCACGACTCACTGAATCATCACTGCCTCTGGCTCTCTGCTCTAGCCTCTCTCTCTCTGGCCCAAAAGAGCAGGGAAACTTCCATTCATTCCCCAGTCCAGCCAAGTGTGGAGTGGCTGAATTTCTGCTGCCTCCCAGGGTTCCCCCACATCTGTGGCTTGTGGCATGGACAGCCTGGTCAGCACAGGCAGCAGGAGCCTTTCCTAATCTCCTGTAGGACGAAGACTGCCTCCTCCATGTATGGGCTTCAGTCTATATTGATGCAGCCCTGCCTCTTCGGACAGTCCCTCTTTTCCCGCTCTTTTTGGCCTTGCGGCAGCTGGTAACTGTAGTCCAGCAGATTACTGTAATCCAGCAGATTAGGAAGCCCCATTCAACCCAGTGAGTGATATCCCTACAGGACCCTCTCTGGAACTACAGCTCAATTAAACCTTATGGCAGAACATTTTAAACAAACACAGGTAACTGCCATTTCGTTACACCTACCAACAGCTACTTAGGGAAAAGTTACTCCCACACAGGAGGAAAGCAGGAGAAGCATCTTCGTCAAGACAGAAAGCTGTTTGCAAGTAATTCTGACAAGGCAGAGTGGCTAAAGGGGGAGTGGATGGGGAAGAGGAGCAGACCCAACACCCGGCCAATGGCATGGTTGATTTGTGGCTGATGGGACAATGGCTGAGGGAGAGCATTTTACAGCCAATGGGAGTGCATGGAATGTTGCCACTTTAAAACAGCATTATTCTATAGAGAGATGCTTTGGATGCAAGGCCAGAAACAGCCAAGTCTTTCATATCTAAGGGTTTATACTTAGCCCACTGGGACTCCTTGCTCCTCCCCTCAACTTATGTCACAAACTGCATTTGAAAATGTGAACATTTCAGACTTCTGGTTGATGGCGGCACGCTCACGGACTCACCTCCTGGACCTCCCGGGGGTGTTTCCATGCTCTGGCAGATGGAGGGGG